ATGCCGGGCTCGATTAGCAATGTCTGCACTGATGGGGGCATGGCCACTAGCAGCAGAACAAGCTCAAATTCACCTAAGTAACAGAGATTGGATCTGATGTTCCTTGGAAAAAATATCCTCTGAAGGTGTTATGTTCTATCTAAAGACCTGTCCCCAATGTCTAATTGAATCTACAGCAAGCAGAATGTCGACTCAGCAGTACGCAAGGGCCCTGTTCAGAGCTGAGGCACAGGTTATCAGAGTGATAACCACACATATGGCGGCTTTTCCAGTCCCCAAAGCTCCACTGTCACATTGCCCTGCTCTGTCCTCAGTGCAATCAACCCTGTGGAGTGGGTATTACCACCCATGTTTGACAGGTGGGGAAACTGGGGCTCGGACATGTTAAGAAACTGACCCATGGTCACACAGCAAGAGACAGAACCAGCCTCCGGGTCTGTGTGATTCACGTGCCCAGCACTTTCCACGGTGCCACACACCAGCTTCCCGTGATTCAAGTAGCACAATCTATCCCCTGACATTTCAAACCCAGAGGCCTTGCAGCTGCACCCCCAGCTGACAGCCCATGCCCACGGCCCAGGCCAGGCAGGGAGCAGTGCTGACATTTGGGCAAGTGGCCCTTTCCCACCCCAGCTCACAGGCTCCATGAGGGTCCCAGCAGCCTGCTGGCTCTCCGGTGAGTCAGGCAGTGACTCAGGGCCTAGCTCCAGGCTGGAAGAGGAGCTGAGTCAGGGAGCACCAGGCTTCAAAGGGCAGCTGGCTCTGGGCCAGGGCCCCTCAATACCAGGTATATGAGCACAGGACAGGCTGTCTGGGGAACCCTCCCATGCTGCCCTCCCCTTCCTGTGCCTGGCCGTCATGAGAGCAGCTCCCACCACCCAGACCCTGATGCTAGACATCCACCATCCTTTTGGGTTCTCAGTGGGGAAGAGAGTTACCCTCTTCAAGGTCTAGACATGCAAAAAGTCATTTGTGGTAGTCACAATGATTGAAGGACATTACTACTATTGAATATGCGAGATAGACAGGACTACAAAGCACTGTCAAGCCCCAAATGCCAATGGTGTCCCATTGAGGAGTGCAAGCTGAAGCACTGCCCCAGGCCTCCTCCCATGGAGCACAGGAGAGAATGAAGTTTCTGGCCAGGAAAGAATCCTAGAGCCTTCAGCCCCTGCCTGCCCCCCTGCCCCCCCCAACATACCCCATCCCAAGGCCCTAAAGCCTACCCTGAGCCCCCCATGACTGAGTCCCTGCTCCAGGGGTCCCCTGTGGACAGCCAAGTCTCTTGGGTCTGTTTGTGGAACCCTCCTTGGCCTCTCTCCCGCCTGACCTGATTCAGGTATGAAATCTCAGGCCAGCAGCAGCTGCAGCCACCGGGTCCAGCGGGTCCAGAATCCTCCAACTCCTAGGCACACAGCATCAGAGCGACGAAGTCTTAGGCTCACACACTCTTTGTTTTGTTTTGTTTTGTTTTTTGAGATGGAGTCTCACTCTGTCGCCCAGGCTGGAGTGCAGTGGCCAGATCTCAGCTCACTGCAGGCTCCGCCTCTCGGGTTTATGCCATTCTCCTGCCTCAGCCTCCTGAGTAGCTGGGACTACAGGCGCCCGCCACCTCGCCCGGCTAATTTTTTGTATTTTTCAGTAGAGACGGGGTTTCACCGTGTTAGCCAGGATGGTCTCAATCTCCTGACCTCGTGATCCGCCCATCTCAGCCTCCCAAAGTGCTGGGATTACAGGCTTGAGCCACTGTGCCTGGCCACACACACTCTTTGAAACACGGAATTTTGCAGCCTTTGAATGACAGAAGCTTAGAATTTCAGTGTCGCTGAGCCTTAAATCTTAACTTTGAATCCTTAGACTGTCACAGAAGTTTTGAGTCCGAGTGTCCCAGAGCTGACACCTTTGAAGTTGCTGTGCTTTTGAGTCACCAAATCTCAGGCCTGAAGAGAGTCCGTATCACACCAGTTAAGGCTGAGACCTGAATCACCTCTATCCCAGCCCAGCCTCCGCAGCCCTGGCCATGGGGATGCTGGGAGAGTCCTCGCTCTGCACAGTTCCTGGGACTGAAAAGTCCCTCCTGATGGAGGGGGGCTGCTTTCTGCCCCACCCCTTGAACACAGGGCTCTCTCCAAGACAGACAAGAGGTAGACCGAGGTAGACCCAGCTATTCCCGAAACCAGTACTCCTCTCCCTCCTGGGCCAGCCCCACTGTTGTCTCCAACCCCAGGCCACGACCCACATGCCCTGAGGGTGGAGGCAAGAGGGGTGGTGAAAACCAAGGAGACAGTGGCCCCAAGGACTCTGTTTGCCCAACAGGCCAGAAATGTGGAAAACAGGGTGGGTTCCTAGGCGGCTGGCTCACTCAGTGGTCAGGGGTCAGGGTGCCTGAGGTCAAGGCAGCCCCCATGGTGTGTGTGGCTGACACCCCGGGCTCCCAGGGCTGGAAGGGGTTACTCATCTGGCCCCTCCTTTTTAGGTGGAGGTGCTGAGGCTCAGAGAGAGGAGACTGCCCAGGGTCACACACACGGCAGACAGGACTCGACTACCCCCATCTGGGGGCCTCTCCGTGACACTTGGGCAGCAGCCCAGCCAGTCCAGCCACAGCCCGTCAGAGACACAGCTGGGTCAGACTCCCAGGCCAAGTCATCTGAGCCATGCCCCTGCCTGCAGCCCAGAGCAGTATTGCCCATCCAGACCCCCTAAGGCTCAAAGAGGCAAAGTGACTTACTCATGGTCACACAGCACGCAAGTGACAAAGCCAGAATCAACTCTTCTCATCTCACCCAGGAAAGGCCCCTGAGACATTGTGACATTGTCCCCTTGGTCCTCCTGCCAGCCTTTTTCTTCCTAAAGGCCCAAAACTTCTGTGGTCACCCCCTTCTCAGGCCTGGCACTCCTCTGTCCACATGCCACAAGCCCCTGAGGTTTCCCCAGTGCTTTGTATTAAAACTAGCCATGTAGGCCAGGCACGGTGGCTCACGCCTGTAATCCCAGCACTTCAGGAGGCCGAGGCGGGTGGATCACGAGTCAGGAGTTCGAGACCAGCCTGGCCGATATGGTGAAACCCCATCTCTACTAAAAATACAAAAATTAGTAGGGCATGGTGGTGGGCACCTGTAGTCCCAGCTACTCGGGAGGCTGAGGCAGGAGAATTGCTTGAACCTGGGAGGCGGAGGTTGCAGTGAGCCGAGATCGTGCCACTGCACTCCACCCTGGGTGACAGAGCGAGACTCCATCTAAAAAAAAAAAAAAAAAAAAAACTAGCCACATGAGTGGTCCCTGCTTCCTCCCCAGGCACTCTCTGGGACAGACCAGCTCTGCCTCTTTGTCCTCGGTGTCCCAGGGCAGACGTCAGTGAGTGCTGGGTGAACTAATTACCGAGCAGACCCTCTCACCATGCCTGAGACCCTGTGAGCCGTCCCCTAGAAGGAACAGGGAGGCTCTTAGTCCCCACCCAGCAAAGAACACCCAGTTCTGCCTCCCACTCCAGCAGAGACCCTCTGGTTTCCAAAAGTTAGGGGGATCCAGGGCCCACCATCACCTCAGCCCCCTACAGAAGGGGATCCCAGCAGTCCTGCAGCCAGTCTCAACATCCCAGCCTGCATCTGGCATCCCTGGAATCCAGGGCAGGACTCATGCCTGCACCTGACCCACCAGCTCCCTGCGCCCTGCCCTGTGTGGCCATAAGCACCAGAACCTCGTTTCTGGGCATTGTTTGGTGGGCCCCTCAAACCACAAGGCCACCATGGCTTGGGTCCCTGGCCCCCAGCTTAACCTTGCAATCCAGTGCCACACAGTCCTTCCAGAGCATAGACCTCTCCAGCCCCTGCTTCAAATCCTGCCCTTGGAACACAGTCCCGTCCCTCATGCAGTCTCCAAGGCCCTGTGGGGCTCCCGCTGCACCTACAGCCTCACCTCACTCCTCTCTGCCCCTCAAGGCTCCAACACTGCCTGCAACTCCTCCCTTCTCCAGGCTTCACTCCTGCCATGCCCTCCTCCTGCCTCCCACCGCCCTCTCTACCCAACCAACGCCCTTTCTTATTGAGGAGTCAGCTCTGGCATTGCCCATGTATACCCAGCAAACACTGCCAGAGCACCCACGATGTGCCAGGCACTGTGCTGGGTGCTAGGGTCCCCACCTCGGTCATCTGACAGTACCCCAGGGGAGGCAAATGTTAGATTCAGAATTCCACAGTTAGATGTGACAGTTAAATATGAAGCAGAGGAGGAATCCCGGAGGGCTTCCCTGAGGAGGTGATGCTTAAGCTGGGATTTTAAGGATGTAGGAAAGGATTTGGCCAGGTCCAGGGGGAAGGGAAAAGCTTTTCAGACAGAGGGAAGAGCCAGTGAGAAGACCCTGAGGCTCAGAAGAGCACGGGGGGAAGCCGAGTGGTGGAAAGTGAGGCTGAGTGGGACACGCAGGCCCCGATGGGCTGGTTTAGGACTTTGCTCTGCACCTCCGGGGCCATAGCAAATCATGACAGTCTCAAGCAGGAGGAACATGAGCCCACTGGAGGCAGCAAGCGGAGGCAGGAGGCCTGGGAAGAGGCTGCTTGGAGTCACAGCAAGGAGAATGAGTCTTGCCCTGTGTGTTGGGATGGGCTGCCCCGCTGCCCACGCTCACAGTTCCTGATCACGGCTCCCATGCCCTGTATGGTCACGGCCCATCAGGTGGCTCCAGAGTCTGACTGATCTGCAATCCCAGCCCAGCACAGGTCCAGGGCCCACACTCAAGGACTCTCTGAGCCAGCGAGCCACTGGACTGACCCCACAGCCACCAGCAACTTCCAGAACCTTCACATCAGCAGAACACCAGGTCCTCATCCGTTTGAGGTCTCCCCAGACCCACCCTCTGAGCTCACTCACCACCAAGGCCCAGTGGCCTCACCGCAGACCTCAGGTCTCCCAGCCGGAGCAAGGTGTGAGCAGCAGGGCTCAATCCTAGCCCCCTACCCTTCAGCCCCTGCAGGGCCCCGATCAGCCAAGGCTGCGGAGGATATGGGTTGCACACCATCTTGATACACCAGTTCCGGGGGCTGGTGGTCTGTCGCAGGCAGAAGAAGGCAACGGGCGCCAGGTCTGGGTGTGGGACATGAGGATCAGCTCCATCCAGGGGCTCCTCCAGGCCTGGTGGGGAGGATGGGGGGCTCTGGGGCCCGGGCTGCTCCGTGGTGACTCCCGGCTCGGCAGCCGGGGCTGCTGCAGATGAGGGCGGGGAGGCGCTCTCAGCCATGTCCACGCTGAGCTGGGAGCCCTGGGGAAGACAGAGAGGGTGGCATGTGGTGGGGACAGGCCTGGTACTTGCTCCCCAACCTGTCTCTCCACCAATAAGTGGACGGATGCGGTTCTGACAGCCCACCTGAGCCCCACAGGCCCCTCACCCTCACTCTGGGGTGAGGATTACGAAACAGCTGAGGGCCCAGCTGCACCCACGTTGGAATCCACTTTCAAGCTGGGCGATCATGGGGCAAGTCTGCTCACCCTGGCTGAGCCTCAGTTTTGGCAAATGAAGATAGTGGGGAGAATAAAGCCTTCTTAGAATATAATTGTGATATTAACTCTTTTTTTGTCTATTGGCAATTTCCTGTATTTGAAATCTTTCATTATTTAAGAGAATAAATGTTTAAGTAATTATAGAAAATCAAAAAAGAAAGAAGGGAGGGAGGGAGGGAGGGAGGGAGGGAAGGAAGGAAGGAAGGAAGGAAGGAAGGAAGGAAGGAAGGAAGGAAGGAAGGAAGGAAGGAAGGAAGGCAGGCAGGCAGGCAGGCAGGCAGGCAGGCAGGCAGGCATGTTAACTTTTTTACAAGACTAGAGCTATGTATTTATTGTACCATCAAAGGTAAAGAAAACTTGCAAGAAAAAAGAGGTGATTGTAAAGACAGACATGATTGCCAGGACAATTCAGGTTACAAAGGCAAAGTTGGGGTGCTGCAGAATCAGAGACTGGGGGAACCCTGGCAAGCCAGGAGGGAATCACAGTTGGCTTCCCTGAGGAAGTGAGCCCGGAGCTGAGACCTGCAGCTGAGTCCTTGACCCAGGGACCTCCTAGCCACTTCCTTACAAGGCTGAGAACCCAGGAATCTTAGAGTCCAACCTCCTTGCCTTACAGATGAAGAAACTGAGGTCCAGAGAAGGGACGGGACAGACATGTAGCGGAGTAACAGCAGAAATAGAATTCCAGTCAAAGGCCAGGCACGTGGTTCACACCTGTAATTCCAGCACTTTGGAAGGCCAAGGTGGGTGGATCACCTGAGGTCAGGAGTTTGAGACCAACCTGGCCAACATAGTGAGACCCCATCTGTACTAAAAATACAAAAATTAGCTGGGCGTGCTGACGCACGCTCTAATCCCAGCTACTCAGGAGACCAAGGCACGAGAATCGCTTGAACCCGGGAGGTGGAAGTTGCAGTGAGCCGAGATCACACCCCTGCACTCCAGCCTGGGCGACAGAGCAAGACTCCATCGCAAAAAAAAATAATAATAATTCCAGTCAGAGCCCACTTCCTGGGTCTGTGGCCCAGGCAGCTGCACAGGGCCCTGTGCTCAGAAGGGCCCTGAACTTGCTTTAGAATGCTACTGTCACCAACATGAAATTCTTAATTTCTTATCAAGAGGTCCCACATTTCCATTTTGTTCTAGGTGTTGCAAATCATCTCGCTGGCTCCGACTCCGACTCAGGGCACTCCTACTCCCTGTGGCCTCATCTGATGCTCACAACCACCTCAGAGAACTGTTATGCCCGTCTGGCAGGTGAAGAAACTGAGGCCAAGAGAACAAAGTGGCTTGTCAAGGCTACGCACCCAGGCAAGTGAAGCACCAGGTGGTGTTTAGAGGCCAGAATCCCAGCACCAGACCCCCAGGCAGGCTTCACGACAACGGACGGTGCCCTCGCTGGCCGAGGGCCTCCACAGGCAGTCAATGGCAAGGTGGGACGGACAGCCCCACTCCCAGGTCCTGCCCTTCACCACCTCACCCCAAAGGGCACCAATCCCTAAAACTTTGTCCCCTGAGGTCCCTGGGACCCTAGAACCCCTACAGGGCCAGTCTGGACCGTGGGATTGAGAGATGGGGCCCACATCCCTGGTGCCCACCCAGCTGCTGCAGGGCTGTCGACCAAGCCACCCGGAGCTGATGCATTTGGACATTTCTCTGGCTCCCGGGGGCAACGGGCAGGAGTTGGCACCTCCTGCCACTTCCCCTGGCTGGTCAGGGAGGCAGAGTTTTCTCCTGAGCTCAGGGCTTTGCTCTTGATTCCAGAAAAACAGCCACGGGCCTTACATAAGCTCCCAGGCACCTTGGCCTGCCACGTGTCAGCCTCCTGGGCTGAAACACACCCTCCCTAGGGTGGCCAGCTCTGCCCACCACTGTGCCAGCCTCGGAGCCCACCACTCCCTCCCCTGGCCATTTGTTCTGGCCAGACTGGACCTCCTCAGGTCCTAGGCTCTGCTCCCGCTCTTCTCTCTCATTGGGTCACCTTCTCCTTCCCCCCAGGCCCTGTTCTACCAGGCCCTACTGATTCATTTGTCCAGTGACCACCCAGCCTCCACCCTCGGACCTGCTCCCAGTGACCACTCAGCCTCCACCCTCGGACCTGCTCCCAGTGACCACCCAGACCATCTCCCTCTGACCTGTTCCTTAGCAGCTTCGCCATCACTAACACCATCATCATCACCACCATCATTGCCATCACCAACACCATCATCATCACCAACACCACCATCATCACCATCACTAACACCAACATCATCACCATCATCACCACCACCATCACCAACACCATCATCACCAACACCAACATCATCACCACCATCACCATCACCACCATCACCATCACCAACACCATCACCATCATCAACACCAACACCAACACCAACACCATCATCACCACCATCACCATCATCACCACCATCATCAACACCATCACCATCATCACCACTATCATCACCATGACCCCACTGAGCAATGGCCAACAGGCTCTCTATGCATCATCTGTGTCCATTTTTACAACTGCATGGGATACAGATCATTCTCATTCTTACTTCATGGAGAAGGAGACAGGGGAACAGGGAAGTACAACCATGACCCTAGTCAGCCAGCTGGTGCCAGGCAGAGTTAGTGTCCCAGCTTAGGTCTGCTTACTCCCAAGCCCAAGCACTGAACCATTCCAGGCACCAACCTGGGACGGGAATGGTGCCCTGGAACCAGGCCTCCCCAAGCTGAGTAATCAGACAGTGGCAATACAGCTGCTGGTCCAGCCAAGATGTCCAAGTCTTCCCAAGGCAGTGGGGAAACTTGCCTCCCAGAATCTTCCAGCCAGCACTCCAGAACCCTGGGAGTGCGGTGTCAGAATGTCCTGTGTCTCCAGAGCTCAGAGCCCTGGTGGAGGAAGACCTGAGGCCTGGCCTGGTCGCCCCAGACCCCATGTGTGTGTGTGCATGTGTATGTATGTGTGTGTACATGTGTGTTTTCATACAGGGAGGCAACTTGTTTATCCCTTTGTCAACAACCACACACCAGCTAATATCACTAGTAGAAGAACAAGCAACAAATTTGTTCAGGAAATACTAGAATCCAGGAATTTCAGACTATCTTAGAATCACCCAGAACTTCAGAGGCCCAAAATATTAACTACAATCATCCTGAATCTATAGTGTGGGTTTCAAAGCACGGGCAGTGGAAGCTGAGACCTGTATTCGAGTCCTGACAACAATCCACCTTAGCACACAACTTAGCCTGGCAGGTGCCCACAGCTACCCTGTCTATAAAATGAGGAGATGACCACACCGTGGCAGGGCTGCTGTGCAGACAAGCTGGGGTAGCCCCACTGGGCACTAGGCAGGTGCACAGTGAGACATGAGACTCCTGACAGTTTCCCATCCTTTTTAGTACCCTCAGCCATGGAGTTCCAGACTCCTGAACCCCAGGGGTCCCAGAAACGATGTCTGGTTTTAGACTCTCGTTGTCTCCAGATCTTCAAACAGAGAATCTCTCAAAAGAATGAGAGCGGGAGGTGACCTAATCCATCACCACACTCACAAGCACAAAAATCACACACATTCACACACCCACAATCACATGCTCCGTACCACACTCACACACAGACACACAATCATACACATACACACATAACACACACTTGCAGATGCAACCTCACACACACACAGACATATGCACACACACAACACACACATAGACACACACAGACACAATCACACACATGGCACATAGGTACATCAGCATGCATTCATACAGACACACAGACACACAATCACACACACACACAATTACATACACATACATAACACACAAACACAATCACACACATGCAGACATGCACACATAACACACACTCACACAGACACACAATCACACACGGCACATGGGTACACCAGCATGCACTCAGACACACACACACACACAATTACACACAGACATACAAACACAATTACACACACCAACCTACACACATAACACACAACACACACCGACACACAATCACACAAGACACATGGGTACACCAGCATGCACTCACACAGACACACAGACACACAATCACACACAGGCATACACACACAATTACACACACAAACACACAGATACAATCACACACACAGACATTCACACACAACACACATTCACATGGACACACAACCACCCACGGCACATAGATACACCAGTACCCATTCACACAGAAACACACACACACAATCACACACAGATATACACACGTAACACACACTCAGACATATAACCACACACGGTACATAGATACACCAGCACTCACTCATGCAGACACACACTCACATACACACAATCACACACGCAGACATACACACTCACAGACACATACACATACACACACAATCACAGACACATACATATGCACACAGTCACACAGATACACTCACATAACATACACTCACACTGACACACACAGACATGCATGCACACAAAGATACACAGGCACACACAATCACATACATAACAATTAGACATATACTCACAAACATACATACACACAATCACACACACTCACACATAAACACACAAAACACCCATTTACAGGCACACTCATAACACACAGACACACTTCCATACAATCACACACCCAGACACATAGATATGCAATCACACAGATCACATACACTCACACACATACTGACACATATGCACACACAGAATACACAGACACATACACACAATCACACACACATAGACACAACAGCCACTCACACATACAAACCAATGCAGAGC